CACTAGCATTGTTTCATCTGTGGGATAGATACAATATCTTATTTTTTGAAGGATATTTCTCCCACCCAAGTACTAACCAGGCCCAAAACTGCTTAGCTTCCGAAATCAGATGAGATCAGGCGCATTCATGGTGGTATGGCCATAGATTCTAAGGATATTGCTAACGTTTTGTTCTTTAAATTGTTAAGTTTTTACTCTTTGTTTCTGTCTTTTGTGTTAACAGCTTTTCTTTAGTATGTGGAGATCCCTGGCTATTTATATGTAAGAGTGAGACATTAGAAAGCTGATTGGAAATTCTGTATACATAGACAAGGGATATAATTAGTAAAACACACAGCAGTATCTTCAAACTAGTTACAACCCATTAGTAGCTTGTGAAATCAAGAGATAATAAAATAGAAAATACTATATCAGAATACATCACACAAATTATTTTGTGAAATTGGTTTCACATTATACATATACATACCCATATATACATACTATATAATGAGTGAATACCATGATTGCTGCACATGTATAGTAACAGTAGGCAAGAGCTGACTTTAAAGTTGTGATTCTTAAGTGGAAAAGGGAGCACAGTGCACTATGGTGATGAACTATGGGCACTTTGGTGATAGGCATACTATGTAACTATACCTGAAAGGGGGTGATGGAGATCCTGTACTTCCAAAATATAAGTGACAAGGTAAATGTTACCTTAATAAAGAAAATTTAAATTTTATAGTTGTTCAGAGGATCTAGGTATGGAATTAAGTTGCCAAGAATTACATCAGGAATAGTGTTGGCATGAAATAAACCAAGAGCTAAACTTACTGAGAAATGAGAGGTAGCATACCAGGGACTATACAGATTTTGTAGAAGACAGCAATATTGAAGGGAAATTAGTGATATAATTTGATGTCATGAGACTAAAAGCTGGGGAGTTTTAAGGGAAGACAGAGAAATGTCTGGAAATAGTAAAGAGGAACAACTACTCTATCTCTAGCACCAGTAACCAGAGGTCTGAAAGAAGCCACCCTTAAGAGCACTGTAGTGAAAGCATGGCCTAATAGCCAAGTTCCAAGGTTCTGGGATTCAAGCTGGAAAAGAGGTGGCACTTACATATGCTGAATCTGAAACCATGTATTTTCAGCATTAATGTCTCATCTCACTTCCCAGTTCTCAGTGTCTCCAAATTAGTTCAGTTTCTTCAGGGGATGAATGAACAAATGGATGAATAAGGGATGGGGGCCTCAGGTCTAAGTTAATTTATAGTTTTTCCAGTAATCTTGTTTTTAGCCCTCTTCTCCTACCACTTGCTTTTCAGAAAACTGTTATCTCCAATTCCTTATGTTCTGCTGGGGTCCTGTGGCACACATTTGCTCACTACTGTCAGGTTAGTTTAACCTAACAGTTAGGTACCTGCTTTCTCTGGTTAATTCCATTTGTTGCTTGTCTTTTACTTCCCAGACTCAAAGACTTTACTGACATTGCTTTTGACTGCTATTATCTTTCATTCCATTTTCTTTGCCCTTATTAGTGTATGTCATTTAAATTTTCTTTACTATCATTTTAGAGGGGTTTTAGGAGGGCACTGTATTTCTAGCTCACCTTTTAACAAGAAGTTGTTAGCAAGAGTTTTGTTATGGATTCAGGCATGTCCGACTAGCTTGTGCATCCCAGAATGCACAAAGACTCATGACTGACATCCCTCCACACTTATGGTGTACAGAGACAGATTTGAATCCCAGTGGTGGAGTCAAAACTGATGCTGGGATTCCAACTCCATTTTTTCTGCCCTTCTCACCTCTCACTTGCTGATATTTGTTACCCTTATGTAATATTTCTGAAATTCTCTCCATGGGATATACACAACTGTATCCTCCTTTTTGGTGCTGTCTTTCCTCTGATCTTAGAAATAGCCTCCCTTCACACACTCCTATGGTCTAATAGGTCTTTATGAAACCTATTCACTTTAATATACTTCCTACTCCCCAATTGGTTCCTAACACCACAGAGTAACTATTGTGAATTCACACATGTTAGGGGCAGTTTCTGTAGAACTTTCAAA